TGACAATTACAAAATTCAACCACAAGCTATTGTTGAACTGTATGTATCTCCCATCTCTTTAAAAAGCTTAGGCTAGCATGACCATAATTATTAAAAAAAACTTTACATTACCATCCCAGGCTTAAAAGTTTATTCAAATCTAATCTCTTCAAGATCAAGTTAGTCATGATCATGTTTCTAATTGAGTATTTTGATTTTAAATTCACTGTAGATACAAATGAAGATGTCTAATGTAAGCTAATGATGGCTGAAAAAGGAATAAGTTCTTGTGCAATTTTTGCATTTTGTTTGAGAAAAAAATAATTACTTTGTAATCACACAAAAATAATGGATAAAATATATTTTTTTAAAAAGGAAGAAAAATAAAAGCCTTCTATTAACCTAAAAATGACCTACTACCTTGAATAATAATGCTGCCACTAACACTTATATTAAATGCTCTAAACTGAGAATTCTGTAACTCTGACAGGCCTGACTTCTACTTGAAGAAAAAGCCCACATACATTTTAGTAAGGATAATATCTTATCATCATCATCATGGCCAGTCTTTGCAAACGAAGATTTGGAAAATGTCACTACCCACGTTTGCTACAAGCGCGCTGGTGATACAGGGCTTTGCAAATGCGGGTAAGGCCTTCGAGCCTGCGCAATGGATTTTTTAGGTGAGACAGCCTGCGCTGAACTGAGCCCACCCATTAATCCTAAGGTTCATCTGTCGGGACCAAGCGAGCTTGGATGGTGGCAGCAATGTCCTCAGGACGTAGGTTTGTTTAGAGTGACCTTTTCAATATCTTCTACTTTTCAGTAATAAGAAGCTGCGACGCACAACTAAAGCTACAATGCACAAGGACAAAAATGTTTGATTTCTTTCTCGAAAGAGGCTAGGACATCCAGGCATATGGATCCTGGCACTCCAGGTGACACTACATAGGGAATGTCATACCAGTAGTAGGAGACAAAGCACCAGCTCTCTGTGTTGTCATGTTGAAAATGGCAGGGAGTCTTTGTCCCAACTTCTACTGCCTGAAAAACAGAAACTGAACCTGCCAAATAGGGAAAGCAAGCAGTCTGGATTTCAGGGGTTAAATGCAGTAAATGATTAAACACAGCTCTCCTCCTGATTCTTTGGTGAACCTTCAGCTCTCAACAGGAGTCAGTGTTTCTATAGCAGAGATGGCTGGGTGTCCTGGAGTGTCTCAGTCTGTCTTTTTCATTGTTTCTTATTCACTACAAAACATATCCAGCATTTGAAAATTTGACATCTGCCAAGGATAGGTGTTAAATGACTCAATCAAATACACAATAGTAGTGAAAAAATACAGTTCCTGAAGCATGAGATGTAGGATACCATTAAGTTTTAATGATTCACATCATCTGCTCACATTGACTTTGGCTGAGGATTTCATGGAAAAAGAAAAGTTGGAAAGAAGAAAAGGAACACAGAAGAGACATGGAAAATCTACTTCAAGGTCCCAGTTTGCCTTTGTAATCTGGGCAAATCATTAGGTCTAGGTTCTTATGGAACTGAGGTGAGCCAGCTTCCTGCAGGCAGTTTGCTTCATATAGGTTCTCCCCTCCAGAATATGATCAGCAATTACTACAGTAGTTTTGCCTTATGCCTTTCTGATTGGATGTTGAGCCACCAGATTTCAAGTCTCACCTACAAATTAAGCAGAGCAGGACTTTAAATCTAGCTTTTCCATCCTAGAAATAATTGAACCTAAATTTTTGATTCATCAGAATGTGCATAAACCTATATATGCTCTGCTAAGCCTGTATCTACTGAAAGTCAGCAACCACCTTAGAGGTGCTCTCCATGCACACAAAAGACAGGGCCCAGCTAAGGAGACAGACTAATTTTGGGCAGGTTTTGGCTTCAGTCTTAATTCTAGCCCAATGACAAGGGGATGATTTAAGTGGTTTTGGAGTTCTGTTAATGTCACCTGGCAAAAAAAGACCAGAAGCAGCTCAGCGATGTATCTGAGCACATCTACAGCAGTTAGGCACCCATTGGGCAAAGTTGCATGTATTTGCACTGTTCCCAATACAATGGCTCACAGATACTAGAGAGGCTTTGAATATGGATGTTCAATGAATTTGGAGAAGCTACTCAGTTTCAACAGCAATTCAAATTTCTTAGAATCTAGTTTGCTTCTCCGTGGCACAAACATAATAACAGAGTCTCACCATGTAGCCTAACATCACAGAACTTCTTATAAAGAGATGTAGGACAACATGCTTGGAAACCTCTGCAGTGTCTTTAGGAGCCATTCCCAGAGCTGCTGGAGCTCTGTGAAAGCTGGCATCAGGGTCCCAATGACAGAACTGGAGTTGAGCGAGTCACTGTGGTCATTTAAAGGCAGGAGTTAAGTTTGAATGTAGGACTTTATCTTGCAAGGGGTAAAATAAGAGATTTCTTCTAACTAAGCAATATTACTCAATAATTTACCATTTGTACTTTGGCCCACACAACAATTATATTTTTGATACAGGTCACAAAACACGATTTCATTGGAGATACTGGAACTCATACTATAGTTTTATGGTTTTTTATTTCTTAATGGGACCAGGGCAGAGATGACAAGTTTTAATGTATTAAAGGTTTACATACCTGAGAGGCATAAGGTTTTCCTGCCTCACAATCTGATTTTCCATTCCATCATCCTCCTATGTTGATCACCATGCTCTGCAAGTTTTTCTGGTTTAGGTTAAAAAATTAAATCTTTGCAATAAGCATTTCCAAAACTCCAGTAATCAAGTGTCCTCTTGTTAACAGACAAATGTCTTACAGAACTGGATTCAAAACAGACAGAAATGGCTTCTAATAGTATTAAATAAAGTAAGAAAAGCAAACACCAAGAAAATTTCAAGAGTTCAGAGCATCAATCCCAAAAGCTGGAAGAAAAGCAATGCAGCACTCCATCTCTAACGTAAGGAATCATTTAGCATGACACTTGAACGGCTGTGACAATACAAATCTGCTAATGTGGTATTAGTTGAACCAATTTAGAGAGCAAATTAGAATAAAAGGGTGTCTTGCATGTCAAATTGCTATGGACATCCAAGGCGAGGCAGAGAAACAGCTGTGAAAAATGCTCTTTTAGCAGTAGAAAAGGCAAGGTTACACAGGGTAAAAAGAAACCCCATTGAATACAAGGCTGGACAATGCTCTGTCATACAAGCAGGAAGATGTATTTCCAAACACACCATTATTGATTTTCAAATTCTACCTTCTCCAATGGCCTCATTAAATCTTTGGGGGGGTGTGTTTGCCTTTTTTTTTTTTGTTTTGTTTCGTTCTGTTTTTGTTTGTTTGTTTGTTTGGGGTTTTTTGGGGTAATGTTTTTTTGTTGTTGGGCTTTTTTTTTTCCCAGTAGGATTACCATAAACATACTGTGGCAATGTTTAAATGGAGACACAAACTGCAGCTCTCTGGGACACACAACATATAACCTGGGAGCTAGAAACAGTCCTTAGCAGAGCTGACACATACCCACTGCAGACTGGAAAGCTTGAAGCACCTTATATCCAAAGCAATGGGGACTTTCCCTGTCCTGGTGCAGCCTTGCATCTAAAATAGCAAAATGTTATGATTTAATATTCCCAAGTAAATTTTCTATTTTTTTTTGTTTGTTTCTTTAAAAGTGCTTCCTCCCATTCTGCTCCTCTTTTCCCAGATCCTTGAGCCCCTGGTCATGATATAACAGAAAAGACAGCTGAGAGAAACAATTCTCTCAGCAAGGAACAAAAATGGAGGTTTTATTCCTATTCTTTATAAAAACTGGCATGTAAAAAAGAATAGTACAAATCAAAATGCAGATACAGGAATATGTATTTGAGGAGACACAAGCACCACAGTGAGGAGGATTTTGTTTTCACCTTTTCTCTTTAATCCCTTTCATAGTTTATTGAATGTAATCAAGCAAAGTAAAGGCAGTGAAGGGTTTTATAAGGAAGGGACAGTTCCCTTGTCACTGGAAGAGACTATGTTACAACAGGATTTTAGAAATTTAGGTAATTTAGCAAGTCCTAAAGAGAAAAAAATGCCTGTAGTTAAAGCAGATTGCTTTGCTAGGGCCCAATGTCTGATTCAAAAGTCAGAAAAAGAACTCAAGTGCATGTATGTTTGTATTCATATTCATATTAATTAATTTAAACTGAGGTTTTTTTCAGGTGAAATGACTATAAGTTAAAATGGTAAAGAAAAAGAAGAAATACTGCTTGCCCAAGCAGATAAAAAGATTAAACATATTAAGTCCACAGTCTACGAACAAAAATTAGACTCCTTTCCAGAAGTTATAGTAAGTTCTTTAACATAGTTAGAGGCAGGTATCAGGAGGTAAGATTACATTAGTTACATTCACTGTTAATTTCAAAGTACGAATGCATGTGATTTTACTTCTGCTCATACTATTGTAATTGCATTATTTATTTAATTAGTATTAAAATATAAGCTAACTATAACAAATTCAGTTCCTTAGTGTTCACTAAGTTCACTTCAGCCTGCTGCCCAGTGTAAGTATGAGCCAGATTGCCTGCCAAGAATAGCCTGTCTACTTCAGCCAAGAAGTGGGGCAAATAAGCTCTGCTGGTAAGGATAGGCACTTTTCAGTCTCTAACCTGGCTTGCTTATAAGAACTTTAAATTTTATTATATCACACTGTTGCTGGCAGTGTTGACATACCCTCATTTTAACGACTCTGCGAACAGCAAGAAGCCATCAGCCAAACACACCGTGGCTCTCAAAAACAGCTCCAGAGCTGTGAGCCGCTCATGAATAGCCGTCTCTGTGAAGGCAGCATGATTTATAATCAGTATAGAGAGTCCCTGTGATTAATATTCATGCTACACATCCCAGAATAAATAGGAGATGCCAGTCTGATTCAAAGCCCTCTGAAACTGATGGAAACCCTTCCATTGACTGCCATGGGCTCTGGGTCAAGCCCCAAGCGTCCAAGTGTGTTTACACCTTTTAAAAAAGAAGGAATTCACTCTCCACATGTTTCAGTCCCTCACATTTATTGTCAGCAAACCTCTGGTAAAAAATGCCTTCCTCTGCAATGAGACTCACTGAAGCTAGTAGGAGCTATATATACAGAGACTGAGGACAAAATTCCAATGTAAAACCAATAGCAAACTGGAAAGAAACTTGATTTTGAAACCACACAAGACAAAATGCAATGATAAAATGAATGTTTCTTTGTAAGAAGTATAAAATAACTCAGATTTTGTATACCTGCAGGTTAAAAAAATTTTCAATGAGGCACATTGGACCTTCATAATATAACATTAAAAGAACCCACTCATATAAATCTAATACCATTATAACCATCTTCCTTGAACACTGTAATTATATCCTCCAAGGATAAGTACCCAAATGTTAATTAAATATGGCCATCTACGTTATTTTATGCAAAGATTTTTTTTACTTATTAAAGGAATTTAATACTACTCATAGATGTCTTTGTTAAATGCAGATTGACAAGGAAGTTAAAGAATAAAGCCTCATTTATTTTTATGCTATTTATAAATTTTCTGAAGCCTAAGTCCTCTCACAATAGTGTACAGTAATTGGCTTAAAACTACCTTCAAATACTTTCCACCACATCTTTTACGTGAACCACCTTGCAAAGCCCACAATGTCTACAAATCATTTTACAGTGATTATCCAAAAAAATACTATGGAATTAAATAAAAGGAGATCGATATGGATCCTCCTCCCCAAGCAATGAAATCCTAGCACCATACAAAATATCACGACTTAAAACTGAGTGCTGACTCTCCTTCTCTCTCTTTCCTTTTAATAACCAAACAAATTATTTTCTAAAGCATGACTGTTAATACACAGATTGGTTTTGAGAGTAGTGTTCAACAGTAATATTTTTCCTGCATTTTGTTCAAGAAGAAAAATATAAAGTAAAAAAAAAAGAAAAAGGAAAAAGATACAGAAAATAAAAAGTCCTAAGGTAAATTAACAGTGAGTCCCCACGGAGGCAAAAGTGGACATTTCGCGACGGATGGTACTGAAAGGAGAGAGCTCCAGTTCCGTGGTGTACTCATTGTCATTGTCATCACTTGTCACTGTGGAAGACTTCTGGATGCATTCATCACAGCAGCAACAGCAACACTCCATAAAGGCCCGGCTGAAAGGTTTACAGAGGCAGAAGAGGAGAACTGGGGTAACACAGGACTTAAAGAACAAAAGGAACTGGCTAATGAGATGGAGGAGGTCCATAGTTTGTCGTGAGACCCCTGTGGACATGTAGGCAGTCACAATGTTGCAAATGTTTTCCGGAATGATGCAAAACCCATACAAAATGGTCAGAGCCACCACTGTGCAGTTCATCTGACTTTCCAGCTGAATTTGTCGCTTGTTCCCCCTTGTGCAAGCCTTTTCAGCCCTCCTGATTTTCCTTGCTGTCACCAAGGAGCAGGTAATAGTGAACAGGGTAGGCAAACAAAAATAGCAGCCAAAGTACCACCAGAGTCGTGCCCCATCATAGGTGAGAGCTAACACGTAGATGGTGTCGGGCAGTGCAGTGGATATCTTCACCACGCAGCGCTCACCCGGGGGGCTGCCACTGTACTCGGGGTCCTCCTTGGCCAGCTGGCGCAGCACCACCTCCGGCAGTGCCAGCAGCAGGGCACCTACCCAGATGACAGCCAGCTTGGCTGTCGTCGAGGTGCAGTTTTCAATCATCTCATAATACATCTGCACGTTGGTGGCAGCACGAAACCGGTCAATGCAGAGGGCACACAGTGTGAATGTGGTGACTCCAAGAGAGGCCACCTGAGAAGGAGGAAAGGAAACACAAGTTAATATAGGTGCTGTCGGGGGGGGGGGGGGGGGGGGGGGAAGAAGGAAAAAGGGGAAAAAGGGGGAAATGAGAAAAGACAGCTACAAGGGTACAGTCCATTAATCAGTAGAGAGTGGGAAAACATCATATCCTTCAAAAGTCCCCTGTTTCCCTGTTGATGGCAGTCTTCTTAGAGACAGAAGATGAAGGTCTGAACTCATTCTGGCTGAAGAGGGAATTAATATATTGTACATTGGATGAAGGCTCTTACCATTGAGCTCTTCTCTAGAAGAGGTTTATACTCTTCCATAGAGATAGCTCAATTTGTACTCTGGAACACCAGTCAAGTCTAGCCATTTGACCAGCAAAGGCAAAGGCAAACATAGTTTAGGGGTATCAGTGTAAAAAACAGTTAAGCACCACGGTGCTGAGCACCACCAAAAGAAACATCACAAACAGAACTTAGCTTCCCGTGTTTGCTGAGCTATCATCCAGCATGCGTTCTGAAAGAGTACGTTCTTCTGTTTTTCTGTCTAAGAATATTTGTTCCAGCTTGGTGTCATCCTCTCCTGGAGACCCAAGCAAGCACCTGTGCAACTCTGAGTGGAAAATAAAATAGAAGAACTGAGCAAAACTTAAAACTAAACCCTTTCCTTCCCCACTTTTTTCTAAGGGGTGTTTTTCATAAAGATTGGTTCTACCACAGGGGTTGGAATCTTAAATCAAAAGGGGAGATAGGAGCATCTTCCTTCATCAGAAGGAAGAACTTACCAACACAAGTTATCAACCATGCAGGGGATCATAACATTGAAACCTTTCACATCTACAAAACTCAGAAACCCTGGGGATTGGATTAGGCACCTACTGAATTGAGCAGGGTCCAACAAGTATTTTTGTGGACTTAGATTTTAAATGAAATTTTGATGGGATGTAGGCACATAAAGCCACCCCATATTGTCAGTTCAAAGAAACCATACCTGAAATCCTTAGACTTCCCAAGCCTAACTTTGGAACCTTCACTATAATAGTTGAGCTCTAATAATCTATATTCAACATTTTATTTAGAAAAAAAAATCACAGGAAAATCCAGGCTCAATTTCGTAGGAAACATCCTGTGGGAGAGTGTACTGCAGGCCAGGAGAAATGGACAAAGTTTCATTCTTTAAACAATTTAAAGATGGATTGGACAGAGCTCTCAATTATATACTACAAGAAAAAGTACAGAGCAATGCTTATGTTCTCTAGCTTTAATAACAATCATTCTATGTATGAGTAGATATCTTGTACTGTCATGCAATCATTTCCTATAATTTTTTCCTGTTTATAATTCAATTTTCTAAAAATGAAATTTGCAAGATGACTATATACATTTTGGCCCAATTCTATTAACAATAAATTCAACTTCAGTTCAAATTCAAAGCAGAATGCCCATTAACTTCAATTGGAGAAAGATTAAGTGCCCTGTTGCATTTTAATTCACTTATTTTCTTGGGTTTGCATGCTTGTGTTATGCTGCAAATGTGTTGATGCAGAAGAAACTGTTAACTAACATTCCTAATAAATGTAAAAAATGTTTACTTTTATCACGTATAAACCATGTGTCTGTGCAATTAACTGGGAAATCTAAGGTAATACTGGGCAGTTCACTATAATTTTGTTTATCAAAATTTGATGTGTAATGATATATTTCAATTTCATACAGGCAGACATAAAAAATCACTTTCTGATTTCCACCATAATATTGAAATATTACTGTTTATGCATCTCTTGTAAAACGTTCTGCAAAGATAGATAGCACAATTATGCACATTTATATAAATGTATCATTAATTTTGGCCTTCCATATTTAATGGCCATATCAGATTGCTAAAATTGAATATCAATGGAAAATATTAGGCACTTGGGATTAGAACTGTCAGACATCGGCTTGGTTGGAGAATTCTTTGAAGCAGCTTCCTAAAAGATTGAACAAGTAAGATGCAATCTCTTACTAATTAACTTGCAGGAATATTTAATGATGACAAGGCAGTACTGTAAACATTTTTAATAGGCAAACATATTGATTTAGGAAGTTAAACTGTCAGACAAGATTCAAAGAAAGCTTGGTAAATACAGCAAAAATAAAAAACAAAGAAAAATTACAGTTATAGGGAAATCTTAATGAACAGTGATAAACTTAGCTAATGAAATATGATTTTCCTGTATCTCAGCTGAGAGTGACATTTGTAAATTCAAGATTAGTGACTTTGTTTCCAAAATATTCAAATGTGTGAGCAGTATTCAAACTTCCTAGTGACAGCAAAACCTTTAGCCTGAACATGCAAGATGAATAACAAAAGTGTCAGGACAGCTTGCTACAATTACAGGAGACAGGAAAATAACTGAAATTCAGAAATAAATAGGGATCGAAATAAAAATCAGCAGAACAGAAGAAAGCCTGAGTTTTTGTAAATTAACATTTTCCCTCTCAGCTCTTACGTGAGCCTCTTCCCTGCCCCCAACACACTTCTCTTGCTTTAGCATTTCATTGCAAACAGACTGTTACACAGCAGCTAAGACATTAAAACTCTACAGCTGTTAGGGCTGGACTAATGAAAGAAGACGTGCCTACCGTGAACAAACATAACCTACGGGGCTCCTGTCACATTAATTGACCAGCAACTTGGAGGTTTAAGACAGTGAAATAGAGCAAGAGGAAACAACTAAGAATACTGGAAGATGGCTTTGAAAACTCTCCCATGAATTTACTGATGAAATGAGCTAAACAAAGCCAGTGTTTCTCTGGAAAAGGCAATGGTTTCCTATTTTCTATAGATCAGTGGAGTTAGTGATGCAATGGAAAAGCTTGCAAAAACCATACAGTCACACAAGCAGATGAACACAGATTCACTCCAGCTAACTTGTTTAAATGCAGTACAGCAATTTAAGGGTTAGATTACTTACCCCACAATGCAGATTATAAGTAATAGCCAGCAAAATCAATGGGGGCTGCTCAAAATCTATGTGGGTGAGAACTGAACATGCATTCTGCATGTTCACACAATTTCAGTTTAGGGTTATTTCTTCATACCAGTCATACTAATAATTAGAGTTAAGCTGAAAGTGTGGAAGAAGTCAGAGAAGTTTCCTTTTTAATATGTTACATGGCCTTGAAATAACCACAGAATGAAGATAATTCATTTGACAGGGAGTAGGTAAAGCACAAATTAACAAGTCGTAAAGTGGTACAAAGCTGCATGGAGTTTAATGGTGCTCTTCTTGTTGTAACAGCTGAGTGTCTGATGTGCTGTTGCAGTCTTAATTCCAACAACATGGCAGGAAATGAGGCAAGGCAAGGGCAACTCAGGCTCAGTAGTTTTTGATCATCACTTAGTTGTCTGATTTATTACCATATGGTCCCTATGAAGATTCTCCTGCAGTCCCTAGACAGTCAGGATGACATCAGTTAACAACTTTCCCCTATTACATGAAATCAGAGAAGTCCCCAAGTTTCCAACTGAAGGACCACCAATCTGCTTTGAGAAGGTGGTGAAGGAATCCCTGCCTTGAGGATATACCCATGCTATTTGGGCAGAGAATCACTATAGAAGGGATTACCAGCTACCGCATACACATACACAGGACAACATTATTGTTACAAGAAGAGTCTCTTGCATTGACAAGGATGTTACTGGGCACTGTGATGCTCATTCCATACACTGCATAAACCTCTGGTCATTAGCTCACCATGCTGTTAGTCAACTGTGTCCAAACTAATTTGGGAAACTGAGCCCAGAGAAAACCACCAGTAAATACTCATGAAATGCTCAGATTAATTGTATCATTTCTCCTGCCCATCCCTCCAACATATTCATTCCCTTTTTACAAACTTTAACAATTATCAAAATGTTTTCAGGCCTTTCCTGGCTTGTCCTACTTCTCCTCACTGTGGTCCCATGGCTCTTGGCCCTAGCCTCTAGGAGCAGTATCTGTGGCTGACCAGTGAAGATGTAGTACAGTGAGGAAGGGCTGTGGAAATAAGACTCAAATCTCTCTCACTAATTTCTGCTTGACCAGATAAAGGTGATGAAAACCAGAAAGGAAATCAGAAAAGGTGACTTGGGTGAAAAGGTCAACAAAGACCAAATTCTGTACGTGAATATAAAACAGAGGTTGCGTCATTCCATTCAGTGAGACAAAAACCAAGAAGTGATATTGCTGCCATCTGCAAATAAATCTATCTTGAGATACAAAAGTTACTTAAGCCAAAGGACAGTGAATGTAACAAAATGGAAATCAACTGGCCATGAGTTACTCAAGGCTGGAAATGAGAGGGACCATTAATCATCTCAGGCATCATCTTCTCAAGCACACCTGATGGAGAAGTGAGGGGAAACAATGCAGACTAAGTTTATATGGAACAAGATAAATTAGAAGTGTTACAAGAAGTGGCTGCTTCTACCAGCTGAAACTGGATTTTCTAAGACAGAATATACTTGATATGGATAAAACAGAGTTTCTTAAATTACAAGGCACTCTTCCTTCCTTTGTTACAAGGCAAGATGGGTATTTGAAACATTTTCCTGTTGTAATGGGAAAGCTGAACTACAGAAAAGGTTGATAACTACTAGCCAGGCCATCTCTGAGCTCTCAGTAACACCCTGTAGACTCTTTATATCCATTCCTATTATATCATATAAACGACTAATTTTTCCCTGAAGCCATTATAGTCCATCATTTTATTATGGCTGTTCTATAGCCACATCAAACTTCATAGCTTTAGAGCATGTTAATGCAACATACCATGGGGGCTCCTCCAAATTTGTCAGTTTTGCCTAAGATAAATAAACAAAGCTAGTACAGATCACAATACTTTTTTTTTTGTGCAACTCTACACTTACAGTAGAGAGTCCAGTAATAAGACTGGACTATTGCAAAATAAGATCATTTTACTGGAAATAATTTTTTAATATTTATCTAAATTTCTGGTTTCTGTTCTTCTAACAAAAAAGTC